TTGCGGTGACGCGACCTGGGGGCCCTATTCCAACCTCGGGTCCCGTGAGGGGCCCGTGTGTAGGCTTTCAGCATGTAACACGCCCCCCTCCTTATGAAGACGAGCCGGGGCGCGGGCAAAGCTGCCAATCCGATGGCGGAATGTAGCGAGGATGGCGAGGAGCTGAAGTGCTCAGCGTAGTCTTCCCTTTGCTAAGATAACGTGAGAGAACGGCGGGAGCTGTGGCCTGCACTTCCGAACGCGTCAGCCAACGGTCAGCCTTGTGGCTGTAGTAGGAAAAGTGAAGTAGAAACTCTGTTTCTTTGTTGCCATGGCGCCGGTCGGTGATGATGTAGCCGCCCTCCTGAAATCCGTCCATGGAAGGAGGGTCTTGCGTACGTCGACCGGGAAACTCGTCGGACTCCGCTGAAACAAAAGGAGCGAGTTTGGAACAGTGGAACACCGTGTGGACGGGCAAGTGAGGTGGCACCGCGATGCGGAATGAAGGCCCCTCGGGATCATCACCAACTGCAGAGAGAATGCGCCAAGGCCCCATCCACTTGGGAAGGAGCTTGCGAGAAATGTCTTGCTCAAGGCTGAATTCCGCGGCGGAGACCCAAACCAGATCGCCGGCGCGGAACAGGCAAGGGAGACGATTGCGGTTGGCTTGACGGCTCATCCGTATTTGCGCCTTTGACATCTGATCCCGTGTCTTGACAAGGAGTTCTTGCATGCGACGAAGGAACGCAAGATGGTCGTCGCTCTCGGCTGTGCGCGACAAAACGGCGTCCAGGGGCGATGAGATGGGTGAACCATGCTCAAACTCGAACGGCGACATCCCGATAGCCGGATGGATCGATGAGTTGTAAGCCAACTCGACGTTTGGCAAGCGCTCAACCCGATCAACCTGGTCGGGACGGATGAGAGTGCGTAAAAGGACTTGAGCGGTCTGATGCGCTCTTTCCGTTTGACCATCGGTTTGCGGGTGGCGAGCCAAACTCGGCTTCAAAGATGAGACCCATCGTTTGACGAGGGCGACCCAAAAGTCGCAGAGAAAGCGAGTGTTCCCGGTCGCAAACGATCTCCTTGGGGTAGCCCTTGGAGCGAATCCAACCGGTGTATAAGACCTCGGCTAACTCCGGTGCCTTTGCGTGATAGCGGCAAGGCAAAAACATGGCGTACTTGGTGAGGCGGTCGACAACCGTGAGGATCCCATCAACGCCGGTCTTGTGCTTCGGGAAGGGGCCGGTGATATCCATAGCAATCGCTTCCCGTCGCCCAAGGGGAACTGGTAGTGGGTGTAGCTCGCCGAACGGACGATGGTTGCGTGACTTGCAACGCCGACAAACTTCGCACGACTCACAATAGCGGGTGGCGTCCTTGAGAAGGTCGGGCCAATAGAACCGCTGGCGAAGTCGGCCAAGTGTACAGTTGACACCAAAATGTCCAGAGGCGGGCGCATCGTGAAACTCGCCAAGAAGTCGTGTGCGCAACTGTGAATCACTCGGCAGACAAAGAAGATCCTTACCCCGTGAATGCACAAGCAAGTAGCCCTCTTGGATCTGATAATGCGAAGGCACCGGCTTCGGAGAGGAGCAATTCGCATACTTGTCGCAAAAGTGTGGGTCGGCTTGATAGCCGCGGATGAAGCTCTCCCGCAAGTCGTCGTCGATCTCGAAGGTAGAGTAGAATGCAGTGCAAAGATCCGGTCGCCGTGAGAGGTCGTCCGCAAAACGGTTAGACTTCCCGGGAATGTGATCGGGGAAAAAGTCAAACTGGTCGATGAAAGTCATCCAACGGGCAATGGTACTGTTAATCGTGTCTTGCGACTTGTAGAATACCAACGGATTGTTATCCGTTACCCATCGGAATGCTTTCTGACCAAGGAGGAATGTCGCCAACGCTTGACGGCGTGGACGAAGGCAAGAAGCTCCTTCTTCCGTGCGTCGTTGATCGAATGCACGGAAGGCACTTTCTTGCTAAAGTACTCGACCGGGTGCCAGTCCGTGCCGTCGTGCTGCTCAAGGACGGCCCCAATGCCATAGCCTGACGCATCGGTAGTGACGCGCGTAGCTAGAAGCGGGTCGTAAATATGTAACACCTCGGCGGACAGAAGTGCCGCTTTGAGTGTTTCAAAAGAATGCGGCGCATCGTCGTCGAAGTCAAAAGGCCGCTCCTCGCTTTGTAACTTGCTTAGGTTGGCCGCGATCTTCGAGTAACCCTTGATGAAGCGCTGATAATAACCGGCCAAGCCGAGGAAGGATCGGATGTCCGTCACATTCTTCGACTCGGGCCACTCCTGGATGGCTTGAATCTTGTCCGCCAACGGACGAATGCCTTCCCGAGAGACAAAATGACTCAAGTATTCAAGCTCTTGCCGAACAAACTCGCATTTGTCGCGGTTAGCTTTGTACCGGGTTGATCGAAGAGTCTCTAGAACACGGCGAAGGTGCTCGAGATGCTCCTCTAGAGTTCGGCTATAGACGAGGATGTCGTCTAAGTAGACCAAGACAAATCGGTCCAACATAGCGCGAAACTCGGTGGTCATGGCCGCCTGAAAGGTGGCCGGGGCATTGGTGAGGCCAAAAGGCATAACTACCCACTCAAAATGCCCATATCGTGTCTTAAACGCGGTTTTGTACCGATCTTGCGGGCGGATGGAAATCTGATGGTAGCCCGACTTAAGGTCCAACTTCGAAAAGTACTTGGCGCCGCCCAACCGCTCAAGCGAATCATCAATGCGAGGTAGAGGCCCCGCGTTCTTCATGGTTTGCGTGTTGAGGCGTCGGTAGTCAATGCAAAGTCGAAGGTCCTTGTTCTTTTTCCGAACGAAGAGAACGGGCGCACCGTAAGGTGAGCTGCTGAGGCGGATCCAACCCTTGTCAAGAAGATCATCGAGTTGCGCACGAAGAACCGTGAGCTCCTCCTCGGACATGCGATAAATGCATCCCTTCGGTGGCACAGCGCCGGCCTCGAGTATGATCTCGTGAGAGATCGACCGGTCCGGCACTATACCGAAGGGTGTCTCAAAAACATCCGAGAACTCGTCTAACAATCGGGTCACACGGGGGTCGGAAGACAAATCCGTGGACGATGAGTCGGTCGTGGGGACGGTTCGAAGAAAAGCGATGCTGATCTCTTCGACATGCTCGGAACGGCATGTGTCTCGAAAAGATTTGGCACTCACGACTTGGCACCGAATGGAAGAGCGAGGAGGAGGAATAGTACACGGGACCTCGGTGCCGGTTGCATCACGAATCGTGAGCGTGCGTCGATGGAAATTGATCGTGTGGTCCAGAAAGCCAAGGCATCCCCAAAATGACATCGAAGTCGGTGTCCAACACGTCAAAAGTGACGGGTTCACATGCGTGAGGTGCGAAGTACACCGGGACAACCGAGATGTGACGGTCTAAGAGCTGTTTCGTCTTACCGTCGGCAAGAGCGACCGTCGTCGGATGTGACTTCCTCCGTACTTGTGCGCCAAGGCCAGCCCGAGTCATGAAGGACTGGCTGATGAAGTTGCGAGTTGCGCCGCAATCTAGCAAAGCGTTGCAGGCCGCTTGCCCAATCTGAATGCGGACGTAGAGCAACGGTGCGTTGTTTTCTTCGTACCGGTGCGAGACAAACTCGCTTGGCAACATAGCCAAGCATGTCCCCCACCGCGACTTCGTCTACCGTCGACGAAGTTGGTGGTGCATGGAAGGAAAGATACTCGTGTAAGAGGGCGCATAGTGTTGCGCTTTGCGGCCCCGGAAGGTTGCCCGTCGTAGGGAGAGGAACCCAAGCGAAACCCTCGGGCAGGAGCGGGTCCAAGACCTCCTCGTTGAACACGCTTGCCGAATCCCTTGATGAAGACGAAGTGGCGGAAGAACCTTTGGACGGTGAGAAAGTCGCCCAAGTGTCTTGTCCTTGAGAAGCGTCCAGCGAAGGAACGAGCCGGGCAGCGAAGTCTTCGAACCAAAGTGGAAGACTCCCGACATCCGCATATGCCTCGGAAGAAAGGGCGGTCGTGCGCACAACCGCTTCCGATGGCGTCGAGGGAGGTGTCGAGTCACCCTCGGCGGCGGCTACTTTCCCGAACGGGGTTTCCCCTTGGTGGGGCAATGTGCAGCATCGTGGATGGTGTTGTTGCACCAAAGGCAATAACGATACTTGAGTCTCGTGCGATAGCAATTCGCCGAGAGTCCGTATTGTGTCCAAGGTTCGTCGGCAGCTGATCCGGTGCCCGGTGAAGAGGTGGACTGAGTCTTCGTCTTGTCGCGGCCGTGATTGTTGCGCGGCCGGCCACCATCCCGGGCAGCTGCCAACAGTTCACCCTCGTTTGGTGTTGCAGCCTCGGCATAAGAAGTCGGCGAAGTCGCCGCAATGCAAGCCACCTTTGGCTTGGGCTGGGTGCTGCTCGTCGTCGCGGAAGATCGGCCGGCGATGCGGGCTTCTACATTCGTGAGAATGATCCGTGACGCTGTGCTGAAAAGCTTGTCAGATGTGTCGAGTGTCTCTGCAATCTGCGTCAGCGCGTTTTGCAGGGCTGGACACGAGCGCATGATAAACAAGTGCTTGACGCCGCGGAATGCGAGCGGCAGGTCAGGTGTGGAGGGGAGTCTTTGGAACTCGGTAATCCAGTCCTGACTGAGCAGCGTGTTCTGATGGAGCTTGTTGAGCTTGTCCATCGCTTGCAGGTCGGGCGGCTCCACTTGGAATCACTTGTGCCAGGCGTCGGTCAACTTCTGCCAAGTGAGCTTGGTGTGCAGTTCCGACACTGCTACGCCGTGGCTGGTCAATATGTTGTCCAGCCATGCTTGACATGCACCACCAGATCGGTGGTACAAGCACGCATGTCGATCGTTGCTCAGGACATGGTGCATGTCGAGCCTGAGAGTGAACTGGCGCCACCACGGGATCGGTTCCGTCTTGGACTGATCGCAGAAAACTGGAATGTCATCACGGTAGCAGCAGCCTGGACCTGCGTCTCCAACTGCAAGTTTGTTGCTTGCTGCGACGTTCGGAAATCCTGATGCACACGCTTGATGTTCCTGACGTCATCCTCCAAAACTTGAACGCGGGTGGCAAGGTTGGAAGCCCCTGCGGCTGCTACAGCAGCTGGCTGTTTCTCCAACGCTTGCAGCCGTGTAAGCATCTGGTCCACTGTCTGCTGCAGGTGAAGGATTTTCTCCTGCTGCAGAGCGCAGGTGGCCATGAGGTCGTGGGAGATCTGTGCAACGGTTGACAGCCCTTTGTCAGTCTCCGGGGCCCCGTCTGCAGATGTCACTTCCACCCAATGTGCGTCCTCGTCACCGATCACGGTCTCCCGCGTGAACAGTCGTTCCCGCTGGCGTGACCGGTGTTCAGCTGCCGCCTGCAGGTCTGCCTCCTCTTGACGAAGTCGGTCCTGTTCCTCCTTCTGTCGCTTGGCCTCCTCCTCTTGTTCGAGCCGATTACGTTCCTTGGCCGCGGCGGCGGCCCTATCGTTGGCCTCCTGGATGAATGCAGCCAGGCGTTCCTCATAGGYCWGGAGGGATTCTCCYGCCTTCCGGTCCATGGCCTTGGTCTGTGATCGAGTGAGTGGCATGCACTGTCGTGCCTGAAGTCTGAAGAGTCACCCGTGGGCCAATCAGATGGACTGGCCCAGTACCCGGACTGGAGGGGGAGGAACAGGTAGGCAGCAGACAAGTGGGAAGGATCGGACAGATCCCAAATTGAACAGTTTCCTAATCAAAAAATAATAATTTTTTATTAAAAAATAAATCGAAAATTCGAAAAAAAGACTGTCCAATCCCACTGAGTACCGAAGGTGATGCAGAAAGCAAATGTGAACCTTCGGTGCTCGGACTGCATAGAATCAGAAAAGAAGAATCTTTACAAACTCAGAGTAGGAGTAGGTTGCCAAAAGGAAAAAATGCCGTTTTTTTTTTTTTTTTTTTTTTTTTAAAGAACGGAATTTGCAGACCTACGCAGTGAAAGTGTAGAGGGACATTTTCGAAAAAAAAAAATCGCAAAATTGTCAAAATGCAGACATTTAACAATTAAACAAGGTAAAAAAAAAGTTCTCGGAAAAAGAATTCTCAGAACGAAAAAGACTTCTCGGAAAACAAATTTCTCGGAGAAAATAATTTCTCGGAAAAGAAAAAAGAAAAAAAATTCTCGGAAAAGAAAATATCGGAAAAAGAAATAATTTCTCGGGAAAAAATAAATAAATTAATTCCGGGAAATTTCCAAGATAATTGCCAAATAATCAATCAACTTAATTAATCAATTAATCAATCAATCAATCAATCAATCAATCAATCAGTCAATCTCAGATGATTGCTGGTTGATTGATCGATTGTTCGATCGATCTCCTGATTGACTGATCAATCAATCGAAGATTGATTGGTGGCAATCCGCCAATCCAATCAATCAAGCGATTGATTGGTTGTTGCCAAGATTCACTGCACTAGCTCCGATACCACTTGTAGCATATCAGGAAGAGCCTAGGATCTAGCAATGACGAAAGTGGCAACAACCAGCAGCATAGATGCAACATTCACAAGATGCCAATGTGCACGATGCAAAGAGTGAACCAACGAGAAATCAACAACAACACATTCGTATCATTATCATCATGGGCTGGGAAGCAGCGCAGCGGAAGATTTAGTAATCAAAGGACACGTGGAGAAACAAACATGAAAGAGATAAACTTCGGAAGGGCAAGACATCAGAAAGATTGCCCTTCCGCTCACACACATGGGGAGAGATCCATAGACATGCGAGAGAGGAGAGACATAGGAGGTAACCAACTTCAACCCAAGTCTGATCTCCGAATGTCGTACACAGTTCAATCCCAATGTAGAGTGTAAGTCCGATCTGAATGTCGTGTCCAATAAGGCAGAATGCCGTGTCCAAACAATGTCT